ATCATAACATGTTATTTCATTCATTCACGTGGTACTACGGTAAATGTATTAGTTTACGTCAGCTTACACTTTTTAAAAACTGCTTGAAAATATCAAAAGAGAAATAGACAAATTAAAATGAAGTATTAATAAGTGATCGCTGCATTATTGTCTTTCTTTCAAAGGCAATAATCATTTATACTGTACTGAAATTAAAATGGCGAACAATTTAAGGAAAAGATTTATTCAAATTAAGCGATTAGAACAAAGTAAACCATTTATTTTGATATCCTTTTTAGGAAAGGATTTCCTTCAATTATTTTACTTCACGTTTTTGTCATTCAGAATCGCATAAATCATATGCAATAAACAAGATTTACTTAAAGAGATTTAATATTTTGATTATTTCAGGAAATATATATGTATATCAAACATCCAATTTTAAAAGAGATGTAGCTTTTATTGACTAAGAATTAGATTAATTAGTTAATTACTTCATATCTGAAATAAGCATGTAATTTTATGAGCGTATAAAACTGTTTAAATATTATTTGATGAATGAGAACAATATTATGACAGGAGATAGAATGAATATTTGCATATGCAAATATAAACGAATAATACTTATCATAAAATCAGAGACATTATCAGTATGGATGATTAGTTATTTCAGTAGATTGGTCTATTCATATTTTGAATATATTATATGTGCAAAGGGTACAATATGTTTTACTAGTAGGTGAAGCGAAAAAATTGTTTTCTGATTTTTAACATGTACTGCTAAATAAATTATCTACATTATACAGTAACAATAACAGTATGGAAACGAATGTCAGGTATCTATGTACTGTCATTGAACAAGTGCTTGAGAGGTGGAGATATTCATTTAAAAATAAAGCCTAGAACAGAAAAATCAAGCTTGAATAATGTAGTGAAATAGTAATGAATAATTTATAAAATTCTATGCAATAAAATGAGAACAAATTTTAGCTTAGAAAAGCTGTAAAAAGTCAAATAATATTTTTATTTCGGGTGCATTATAGAGGAAAAAGAGTGAAATCATCCTAACTTGTCAATAGCTAATGGAATGTATGCTCGAAAATGCTTACTAAGCCTAATGCAAATGGAATATTTAGTGATCTAAACAAGCCTAGGATTGAAAGCTTAAGACTAGTTTCTCTCTTCAGCCTAGCTCATAAAGCCTTGTAGTAGAGAACTAATAGCTATTTACTTTCTTGCAAGAAAAGTAAATTTAAATCTAGTCTAAACAATCACAGGCTACGTAGAAATCGATTTTGGGTCCTAAAGCATTAACTAGAAACTTCAGAAAATGTCACGGATAACACTCGACCTCTTCATAGAGCAATTGCTACCAAGTCTAAAATATTTTTCCTTTTCTCTCTTTCAAATGCTTCTTTTGTTTTATTAAAAGTTATAATTAAATTCTTAATCCCACAATTAAGAAACCATTTTACTGATTTGCGGGCACAAGAGAATTGAATTGAATAGTTTCTTTATCCACATTCCAGCAATAACATTATTTAAAAAACTATTAAATGAGAGAATATAATCTGCTCCAAATTTGTTTCTTAGTACCCATAAATACCATCATCAAAAATAGAATCAAAATCTTACTTCTTTTTTATCATCTAATCGACTATTTATTTACTTATTAACTAACTGCTTTAAATTTACCCAAGTGTTTTAAAACTAGCATTACTAATAATTTGATTACTGCTCACAGCAAAAATTATAATATCACTTTTACAACATTTTTTGTCAAGACATTACCATCCATGTCTCTAAACAATTATATATTACTTTCACCAATTTCATCATTGTCCATATCTGATAGTGTTCGAAAACAATTAGCATCTAACACACCATTTTTCCATTTAACTTCTACACATCTATTTCCATTAAAATCAGTTTCTTCTAGCGCAGAAAACTGACTCATATATGCATTTATTTCCTTATTTTCCTGCTTTTCAAATTCTTCCTCATCCATTTTTACCGTGTCCACAACAACAGTACTGCTTGCGCCCACCTGAAATAACAAATACATAGCTATTAATTACATAATCTATTCTTGCATTTATATCTTGACACGAAAATAAATATCGAGATCTTCTAAGAATTGTTAAAACAAAATACATACTATTTGAGGAAATTAAAAATAAAAATGAGTTAGATTGTATGGTCCAGTATATTTCTTTAAAAGCTGAGAAATAATAACCTCTGATAAGCCTGAACTTCTTTTATCGAAATCATTCCTTAATTTGGGCTCATTAATTTGGCAGTGATCATCCATATCGTTCAAATTCAATATGGGAATTTGTGAAAGGATGCAGTTACTTTCGACACTTTGATTGCCTAATCTACCTACATAACATTTTCTTTTTTAGAGAGAATGATAATCAAGTACAAATGTAAAATAATATGAACGTAAAAAAAGTAAACATCTAATGATTATGTGGTGAAAAATATATTATTTCGGATTAACGAACCTCGATAAGAGCCATGGAGTGGTTTAGAAATTGATGAAGATTCTTCCGTTGTCTGTAATGAAGCAAATTTCTTCTATATTACGCCGGCAACAAAAATGAGAAAGACATTACATACCTTTAAGTCAAGCTCAGCTGGTCTCGGCGGCTCCACCATATAGCACATATCAGAGGGTGAAATCCACGAAAACCCATGTTTATTACAAAACTCGAATGGAGTTGAACTATTAAGGCCACAACCAAGAGAACCCAACATTGACATCGTGCTTATTTGACTATCTGTTAATCCACCGATAAGTCTTTGCCTTAACGGCTCAAAAATTGATGCATCCCAAGGTACAAGTCTAAAAATCAATTCATTTTGACCGAGATATATTTACCAGAAATTATTACAGGTTTCATACGGAATATGAGCAATAGAAGTCTGGAATTTTAAAATTCATAAAACGACATACTACCATAGTAGTTATTATAAAAGATCTAGCACTTATCTGATAGCGTTTGGATCGTTAGAATCAACAGAATCATAAATCACCGATCTGCTTTTTCTGAAAAAGAAAGTATTGTTATATTCAATGAACAGTTTTAACTTCTTTCTGAAAAAATAATGGGTAAGTAATTTTTGAGTTAAAGTGTAGAAATTATTCGCTGTTTTGATAAAGTTTTACTTAATAAGTTCGCTAGCTCGCACTCTATAAAGTTCGCGGTCATTACGAAGTAAGGTTGCCGCTTCAACATTAATACACGTTGTTGGATCTGCATCAAATGAGAAAAAAATCCGCTGAAAACTTTTGGCGAAATAAAGTTGATGTCTGCACAAAAATTAGAAGTAATCAATTGAAAGATTGATCGAAATGACTGTTTTTGATATTAAATATATACTTTATTAAATATTCTTTTGACGCCAAATATATATTTTGTAAACAACTGATTGGAAATTAAAATTATCGAAACAAATGACAGCTATTTTTTCATCTGAAAATCTTTCCCATTATAGCTTCAAGTCTTACACACCTGCACAATGAGTAAAACATGATAGAGATGATGGCGATCTGATTGCCAACCATCGACAAAATATCTTTTCAAATCGAGCTCTCGTGTATTTGGATCAACATGAGGATGAAAAACATCCAAATCAAATACTACTCTCTTAAAACATCAATAATAAAATCTAAAAGTCTAAAATGAGCAGGAATTTCCTTAAACTTTTGCAATGGATAGTGCTGTCCATGCATTTTAGTTAAATATTCAAATAATAGAAATTCCAAAGCTTTGGAGTAAAAATTTCGTATACTTTACTGGTATTTCTGTAGATGGGAAATTTGAAGGTAGATGTAAAGTGAAGCGAAAAATAGATCCTGTATAGACACCTCGTCGGATGAATATTAAACCAAACCATTCTAAAATAAAGCAGATAAAGGATTATCATCTGAACCTGTTGTTTCATTACAATGAAAAAAATCTCTAGTTTGTTTACTGAGCATATTATTTTAGTTTGTAAAAGATGTTACTGTTATTATCAACAAAATTAAATAAAATTACCTAGATATGAAGCTACAATATCTACTAAAAATTGTAATGGAACAACACGTTCAGATGAAAAGCTAGATATTCATACAAACAAAAGTCATGCACACTAACTCTGCACTTCATAATTGCAATACCCCTCACTTAAACTGAAGGATTAATTTACTGCAAGCAATCTGTATGAATACTTCAAAACAGAAAATAATAACAAAACACTACGAACGCATTGTTTTTTGCAGCACTCGAACTTAATATAAGAATTACCGAATTTGTTTAGAGCACTTGGCACTGTATAAACACCATCTATTGGGTCTCGACAAATCATAGCACTGAATAAATATCCAAATTAAGCATTGCATGAATAAAATAAATCAATACGCAAAAGTAAATTTATTTTATAAACTAAAGATAATAAATGAGTCGTAACTTACTACTCGGACATGATAGTATGCTCCATAATTAGTTCTGAAGACAGTGTGAGTGGTTCTCCTTTCGTCATTTTTAAAATAACTACAACTTCCGAACCGCGAATACCAATATTTTCACAAGTGATAGTGATACAAGTGCGTTCTTCTGAAATGATTCTTGTCATTAATACCATACTTGAATCAACAAACACAGATGAGTTAGTAAGAATTTCACGATAGGTAATATTCCTTTAAGTTGCCTACATGGACCAGTCAATCATTTAATGTGTTATGAACTTTCACGAGAAACAGACAACGATTTAAATCGTTTCAAACAATTTATGGGTTTCCCAATTTCTTAACACATGAGATTATATACATGCATTTGCCTCAAAGGAACTTTTTTTAATGTGCGAAGTATTACCTGTACATTGTACAAAAAAAGGTATTGCTGCTTTTACTCTTCATTTGTGAACTGAGATAAGTATCAAATTACTTATTTCATCTATGCATATTCTCTCGAATACGCTAAGAAAAACAACCACAGGCTGTTCACGAGCTAGCGTGCAATAAATACCATTCAAAATAAAAACAATTTTATTCTACTTCGTTAAGCTTTAAGCAACACAGATAGAAATAATTACCTCACTAGTCTACGTGATAGCTACGGAACAAAAAATAATTTAGACAAAAAGAGTAGCACCATTTCACTGAAAAAACAATGGCATACACGCGTTCAACACATAATTATTTATAATTGTTGCCAGCAATCTTATTCCTCGTTTTCTTCTGATTCTTTCAATGGGATTTACAAAAAGTCCTCAAACACGAATTTCTTCATATAAACACCAAAAAGTTTTTAAAAAAAATTTTGTACTAAAACTTTTTGTTATGTTGGAAAACTGTCTTTGTGGTTCCAGAATACTGTAATTTTTTTCAAAAGTTTCTAAAATATAAATACAATACTATCAAAATAAGGCAAAAAAAACATTAATTCGACCCCGGTGGTTTGTACCCACGAAAAATACCAGCTGGCTTCTGGGCATAGATTGTTGGCAAACTCAGAAGAACTGATAAAAGTGGTACCAGTGCCAATATTTTTGCTATTTTCGTTAGAAGAGAGGACAAAGGTAACGCTTCTTCGGGTGCCATACCTTTCAGCTCTGTATTAATCTAAAAAAAAACATAAAAAGTCTGTATAACACTTTTTAAAAAAAGCTAAATTATACTCAACAGTTATTTTTAAAAACTTATTAGAATAAATATATGAACGTAAATTATGATAAGAATGATGATAAAAAGGTGAATTATTGCAAACAACATACTGGTTTCATTTAGATTAAATAACATATTTTTTATTTAAGGATCAATCTTAGACGCTCAGTAACCCAATTACATAGCACTCGTTTTATGTATTCGAATGAAAGTATAATCTATAAACCAAAGATTTTGAAAGGAAAATTCTGGAAAATTTGAACATTAAAAACATTTTAGTAAATCTCGAAAATAAATAACTTTGCTAATTGTTCTTGATTTTTAAAAATTTATCCTTGTAACAAAATCTTACGACTTCTAAACCATCAACCTATACATGTATCTCATTTTTAAGACCAATAATTTCCTAATTCTTGAACGCAAATGCATCAACTAACAAAAAACTGCTGAACAACATCATATAATCCTGGTTTGTACAAGCCGTATTTACCCATAACAAGTTTGCCCACTTTTGTACCTTCCGGTAATTTTGGTAGCAGGCGAGCTCCCACCTGAAAAGTGTCCATTATAAACATACGCTCGTGATACCTGATAGATATAACCACGCTGCTCACATTTACTTTTCTTCCACAAAAAATATCAAAGGCAGAGATTATTACTTGGATAACAAAATATTTCTCTTTCTATCAAAAAGTAAAGCTAACACCAAGCTGCCATTCAGTATGAACCAACGGGTTCCATTCGCGTACTGGAGGTGGTTTTTTATCAATTATTCCCCCACTGCTTCCTCTTCCACCAACTATTTCTGGAATTGCAGAAGCTTTAGGGCTAGTATGCAACGATCCGACTGGTTGGGATGTATGTTCGCCTAAACCAGTAGTCCATTTTACATCTGCTACATCAGATTCTCGAAGTACTTTACTAGGGGCATCTATTTTCGGTGACAGTCCACCCTAAAAGTAAAATCAGACTAAATAATAATTTTGCAACTATAAAGTGAAAACATAATTTATAACCAAATTCAATGCTTTAAAAAAAAGTTTATTACAGAACTAAGTTTTTATCCACTGTAACACAGCTTTTACTGTCAGTAGCAAAGTAAAAAAGGTTAAGAACAAACATTTTTAATATTTTATGTAAATATTTTTGGAGACCAAACAAACTCTACAAAACTCCAAAAACCAGAAATTCCATACTACTAAAATACGATTAAATGTTGCATTGTAATTTGTAAACAAATGGATATTTTTTAAATTCAATTTTATTGCTATTGGCAATACTTTCTGTTTCATATTTTATACACTGATATTGGATGGAACGAATGTGGATGCACAAAACTTGTCTGAATTATTACCAGTGGTATTGATGATTCAGAAGCTGGAAAAAGGCGGTTAACAAATGCAGAGAAGCGATAACGCACCATCAACTACAATAACAAAATTAAGCTAAAAAAATTATAATTAAACTCGAAAAACAATGGCGCTCAAAATAGGTCTCATTGCATACAAATTATAGCGTTTTAACAAACTTGAAAATGAATGATTAATAAGTATGATTCTGAAGTCAATATCAGTTGATCCGAAAAAAATACAAACTGAAATTGGTAGAATATTCAAGGAGTAAAGCTCTCATTAAGTAATGAAGAGTATACATATACGAATCCTAAACATTTTTTAATTTAGTAAAAAAAGTAGTATTTTAGATGTGAATAATTGAGTTTAGATGTATTTTAGATGTAAATAATTACTTAATTGTTCGTAGAAAATGAAAGAAATAAGTTCTTTGAGTTTCCATATAATATTCTAATTAAGGATGGCAGTAAACATGCTGACCTCTGCAAAAATAAACAAGTGAACTACTTAACAGCAAGAAATTAAATATAAATTAAATACAGGAATTAAATATAGAATATGACAAACAAGAAATGACAACGAAAAACATCAAGAGACACTTAATACGGTGTTTATGTAATAACAAGGAAGACAAGAGAGATTTAAAAATAAATAAAACAAAATTAAGAAAAAGATACAAATGTTGTAAGAGTACTATAAGAAATTCATACACAGAGAAGGAAAAAGCTAACAAGGTTATGAAAACATCACTGCTTTAAGTAATAAGTGAAAGTTGAAAAAGAATGCGATAAGCAGAAAACGAAAATAAAAAGAGAGTGCGCATTTTTATGAAAATTAAAGATTGAGAGAGCAGGAAATGATTGATGGTTCTAGATGAAAAGACATTTGTAAGGAGTTGATGATATTTCAGCCAAGAGTGAGAGTGTAGCTTTCAGATATTATCACTGAGAATATCTAGATAAGAAATATAAAGTATCAATGTAAAATCAAATATCTGTATATAGATGGATATGAAAATCGTTTACTATCAATCTGTATAGTTATTGAGTCGCATTGTGTTTCTTAAATTTTTTGAGTCAAATTAATACATGAACAATGGAAGAAGTCAAAAAGGAAAGCGATATCGGAGTGGTAGATAAGGTAGAACCAATGGAAGTAGATAATGTGGATAATAATGACGAGAGGAAAGATGGGTAATTCTTATTTTACTTTACTTGAAAAGGAAAAAATTTTTTGGTTAGTTATTTATTTCAGACAAAAAAGTAGTCAGTTAACTTTTCACCAAAATCATAAAGCAATGTATTTTGTGATTGATAAAACAGCATTCAAATGTCTATTTTGAAAATGAATTTTGACGCATAATCTTCGTAAAATGTAGATGTTTACAGGAGCGAAGATGAAAGCAGTAGTAGTAGTGAAGAAAATATTGAGTTTATGGTCATTAATCGAGAAAAACGAGCAAATGCTGGTAGCAAAATGGCGCAGTTATTAGAGTCTGTTGTACATGAAGACGCATTTTATACAAGTACTTATGATGGTGGATTTCTTGAGGTATGTCTCATCGATTCCTTGCATGCATGTTGTGAAATTGTTACTTTTCAAATCGTAGTAAATACAACATTGAAAATTTATTAGTTCCATTTTTTTTACAACGTGAAAGATTATTTGATGTAAACTTTACTGATGTAAAATATAGAAAAAGAGTGAAATGTTTTATGTATATGTTGAGATGGCTTGTTGGGAAACTAGGATAAGTTGCTAGAATTCTGCTCATCATAAATATCGAACTTGACAGGATGATGCTGATGATGCATTTGAATCACCTTTAGAATCCGAACAAGACGAAATAGATTCCGATTTTGATCGTCCTGAAGAGGATGATGATGCAATTAGCGATGTAGAAGAAGAGCCAAAAAGGAAAAAAAGAAAACTTGCATATAAAGTAGGAAATTTTTTGCCACTAGTTTCTTATACTTATTTACTTATTCATAATAAAAGCTGGTGAATGCTTCTGAATATGTGATGTTTGTAGGAGCCAAAATTAGCAGGGAGTAATTCTAAAAAAGCACTGCTGCAAAGAAACAAAAAATGGGTGATGGCAAGGATGGGATGTGTTACTGCAGCTGCAAATATTGTCAGTCCAGAGACTCAGGTATGTTAAAATATGCATTTGTTGAAGTTATACTTCAGTTATTTAGTTTTGTTCTGTATTATTTGAACCATACCTTCAAGCAAAAAAGGAATTTTTTCTTTGTTTGTTAAATTTTGTCACAATGTAATAGCTGGGTGGTTGGAGATATCAAAAAATATATTTCAGGCACAGTATTTAGAAGAAGCAAAGGAAACAGAGAGAAAAAATGTAGCATCACTTAAAAAATATGAACAGTTTGAGCTGGAAAAGAAAAAGAAGCGAGAAAAAACAGGTGGCACACGAAAACTGCACCCACCTTACATCAGTTCTGTTGACGGACCTAATGGCAAATGGCTGGTTGTTCCAGATATCAAAAAATTTGACAAGCCGGAGAAGAAAGTATGTTTTAATTTGTTTAAAAGCATTAAGAAGTACTACATTCTAAATATTTTGCCGATATTCAGCGGTACTTTGAAACTACATTGGAGGATAATGTAAGTATACTATAATAATCTGTTCCTACCATTCAACACAACTAGATATAAAGAATGCTTTCCAGTAGAAATGCTAATTGGAAGATGAAGGAAGTCTATAACCTTCTGCAAAAAAAAAGGTGAAAAAGTGTTAAAATTGCATCTCTGTACCGCTGCTAAATTCATGTATTTTTCCTTTTTTTCTGAACTCAAGCTAACTTACTCTCGAGATAGGAAAGATCACTTCAGGTTAAACTTCTTTGCTGTGTTACTTCACGTCCAGCAAAGTACCGAGATCCTGTGACAGATTTGCCGTATGCGACACCAGAAGCATTCAAACTGATTCGAGAAAAGTATGTAGAATACTTGAAAAGCATGCCAGAGCATCCAGCAGTAAAATCTTGGCTTGCTCAGAAATGTTGACATCACATGTAGATTACTCCTAATCCACTTTATTTTTCTGTAAAAACTGTCAAAGTCTATCTCATCACTTGTTTTTTCTCGAAACTTGTTAATTGCCAATCTCATATCTGCCAGGAATTTTTTGTGATTTGTCCGAATTAAAAGGTTTAATTCCGGACTATGCTCATAATTATGCAGCCATTCTTGAACAAGTTGCCCTATATCCTTACTTGCTGTTAAGGATCACTTCACATCTCTTCGTTGAAAAAACGATGAAACTTGATCTTCGATCAATCTGCGACTGACATTTAAGATTCAGTAGGATTTTAAACTAAACAAATTGGCCAAAAAATTGGCACTGCCAGGCAAGCTGTTTTTTCCAGATACAGCATGTCAATTGAAATTACTTTTATTTCCATAAAAATAGTTACTGTGTAGCCTTTTATAACAAGAAAACTAAACGGCCAGTACTTTCCAAAGAACAATTGACCTTCATCAGAATGTATCATGCTGATTTGTTCTTTTTTTATGTAGAAAACTGCACTTACCATAACTTCAACTAACATGCTAATTTCAGATTCAAAGATTTTAGTATAAAAGTGATGATTTCACAAAAAACATTTGGAAATGGTGGAAAAATGAGTGATAATTGTCAAAACTTGAAATCTTTATATTTCTTCTGCTGCATTGTTGCTTTTTTCTGTTCTTGTGCTTTTCTTTTGCGCTGTAAAAAATCGAGGCTATTTATGTAATAACGGAATGAAAAAAAGAGAACAGAAGAAGAATACTGACATTTTGTTTTGCGGAATGTTCTGCTACCATGTCTGAGAAGTCTTCGTCATCATCTTGTTGACCTGTTTGTTTTCGTAATTGTTCTTCGTATTTCTTTTCCAATCCTTTCTGATCAGCTAAATCCAGATCTTCAGGATTAAGCGATACTTCTACACCGACATCTAATCCATGTGCTGCAGGAGCGAGTCCCGCTTTCCTCTAGAAATACCAGAGAATGATTGCATAAATAAGAAGCAAAAAACTTTTTTTCCTTCCTGTTTATGTTGGTAAAACAATATCAAAGTGTACCGATAAGTCGTATACGTGAGTACTGGCCATCATCTGTCCTGCGATGCGATCAACTCTGCGCTCTTGAAGCACGGTATACAGAGGTGGCGCAGGAGTATCGCCACCCGTTGTACTACTGAAATTTTTGTCAATGAATTGAACTCAATGAGCAATTCAAAAGAAAAAATAAATCTGATTTCTTTTTTTTTGGAAGAGGGCATATAATTACATTTTTATAATTTTCAGAACTTTTCAATTTTAAATTCAGCAGCATCGAAATAAAAAATATGTGGAATGGGAGACCTTTCTTCCATTCGCTTTCCTTTTCGTAATTCAATTGTGTCTGGTGTTTCAACACCGGTAAGAACTCCAGAAGTCATTCCTGATGGTGTTATGAAGCTGGAAGATTCATTTTAAGACATTTTAAAACTAGTATCAATAAGATCTTCTGAATTATGTGATCTAATTTTTAATACAACAAAAGTAACGTAACGTTACAAAGTAAATGTACCTTTGACCACAAAAAAATCTACCCTTCGTTGGATTACAGAAAATAAATTTAGGTCAAAGAATTAGCACTCACCCTTCTGTGACAGCCGGAGTCATGAAGCCGGCTTCTACACCACCATCCCTTTCTTCCTCTCCTTCGCTTTCTTCACTTGAATCCTCGTCACTACCTATTTCACCCCAATGCCTACGTTCTATACGTGATTCATCATCTAATTCTGGTAATATTGGAGCCTTAAAAATGATAGACTCAATATTACGTTTTTAGTAATAATATCTTAATCTAAAAAAGACCAAAACCTGGAAACTGTGCACAAATTTATTGTACTAACATTTCGTACAATGCCATAACAGAGAAAACTTATAGCGACATTTCACTTATTCTAGTCATTAAGAATAAATAACTTAAATTTCATGGTACTTGCTACTGATAACTATTATATGAATAGAGAAGGCTGAATTTTATACTACATTACAGACGTTAGATCCAAAAACATGGGTGAGAATGCATGAATTATTCTAATTATAAAATTCTTTCAGATAAACGAGTGGTAGTATAAAATTAATATTATATTCCAGAAAATTAACAAGCAGCAATAATTTGAAACCTCAAGACCGAATACATCGCCATACAACGGTTTGCCCATTTCATCGACTGGAGGTTTACCCCATCCACCAGCATGATAACCAAATGCACAACCTTCCGGAATAGGACAATTTAATCCAGGAATTTTAAGGTTCGGATACGAAGGCGGTGGCCCATATCGCTGCATTGCAATTAACCAAGGAGGAGGAAACTTGTGTGCATTCTAAAATAGAAAACGTTTAGTGATTTTCCCACAATTCTTCTCAATAATGATTTAAACTTACTGGTCCAACAGGCATTCCCAGTGCGATTCGTAAATCATCAGTTAATTCGCCAGGTTTCTTTTCACGCATAACTGTTTCCAGTTCCTTACCCTCATAATACAGTTCACCCATCTGAGTCATAACAGGTTTTATTTGCCACTTGAAAAACGCATCATGCAATTTTTGATAATCGATATCAATACGACCAAGTTTCGGCCTAGCACGTTCGCGCATCTTTGATTTTAATGACTGTGCACCCTCCTAAAAAAATGCGGAGACTGAAAGCAAATTTCCAAAAATCTCATAATATTGCAATTAATACATGTTTCCATATCATTTTAAACCACCTTACGAGAAAATAACGCACCACTAATAAAATAACATATTTCGTGAGACCTAAAGTCAAATGAAAACAGAACTAACTTTTTCCCACATAGTTTCACGCATTTCCATAATACCTGTTCTCTTTATAAAATCAGGTAACTCAAATGGTGGTCTTTCGAAGCCCCGCTTGCCTGCTAGATACTTTCGCTTGGCATTCCAATGACGTGGCACAGGTACTGTATTTCTATATGCTTTCAAAGTGACCAGTAGATGGGGATCCCGTGATGTAACATCAGCCCATTCCACAACATCAGGACGCGTAGTTATCTACATATATTCACATGCAAGTACATCAGCCAACAAATAATTTATTAATGAAAAAGTCTTTCATATTCACAAACAAACAGACAAAGAATGCGATATTACAAATACTAGGAAGAAACCGTGGTTACCTGTGAAAGAACTTTAAAAAGGTGATGCTCTGTGATTTATTTAAATTATATTTATTAGTAAAGTAATAGGTAGATAGAAAATATAAACAGAAAATCTGACTCCATAATAAAGTAAACTGCAAAAACAGTGGATTATAAAATCATAGCATTAAAACAAAACCTCTCGAGGAAAATAAACAGATTTTCAAATACCTCTTTCAATTCAGCAATAGTGGGTTGCATAGCTAAACGAAGTTTTCGTTTACTCAATGTTTGGGTCTGTCCTGCCTCTTCTTGCTCGCGCTGAAGAATAAATTGAAAACTTATAGAAAATACATTAAACATGAAATGATAGTGAAACTGAAAGTGAAAAAAAGCGATGCGTAACATAAATTTTGGATAAAAATGAAGTATTTCAATACTCACTCTTTTTTCACTCATTTCTTCTTGAAGAATTTTTTCTGAGATTGAAGCTCTTGTAGGTATTTCTTCTTTCTTCACTTCATGCTCAATTTTTTCAACTGGTTCCTCCTTTTTCACATCTTCACTTATCTGGAACTTGTACAAATGAGATACTTTGCAGTATGCTACAACGTCCCTCTAGCTGCCTTTATATAAACAAACAGTTTCAGATACGAATACTGGAATATAGCGAGTTTAAAAACTCTTAACCACGAACTGTCCTTAAATGCGTACAACCAATGTGTATACTATTTATGTGTACACTTATTTTTCAACTTAGAGCTGCTATGGTTAAAAACAAATGATATTTTTAAAGCAACCTAACCATAAATTTTCAGAATGCCACGATTAGCTTTAAAACGAAAGAGCTACATGAAGATTAAATTACTACTATAAATTATCTGAAATAGAGCAAAAAATACCTTAAAAATCTCACCCTGAAATTATCAAAAATCCTTGCAAAATAATGATAGTTCGGGTCAGTGATATCCAGTTCCAGAGGTCTCCCAACATAAAGCACTTCAATACCTTCATTTTCAACATCACTGTTTGGTGCAGTATTATCGATACCTGAAATTTGATACTTTGAAAAGCAAACATTGAGAGTGCATAATAAACTCAATGTACAACATTCCGAATAGTCATATCATTTTTACAGTCTCCATTTGAAGAAATAAAACTATGAAAAGATAATAAGTTTACCTGAATCTGAATTTAAGCCATCTTCTCTTATTTTTCCTACCCTTTTTTTCCTTGATTGCTTCTTTTTTTTGTTTTTGGATTTTTTTCTCTCTATTTCCTGAATAAAAAAACATTATACATACAATAAAAATCATAGAAAAACATTTCTAATTTAATGAATTTCTATAGTATTTACATCACTAAATTCTGCTGTTTATTTTATGAAAAGTCAAGCAAGAAAGGAAAATTCCTTTAAAATGCTACACAACCTTCAATTCCTTTTTCGAAAGAATACACGGTTGGTTTTCTGATTCTTCTTCTTCTTCTTCATCTTCTTCTACTATTGATTCAGTGTCTATTAATTCAGTCATCAAACAAATCAATGAACACACGCAAAACTCTAAAAAATTTCAACATTTCCAGATGATATGCACAGAAATTATATTATACTCGATGAATCAGCTTTAAATAAAACGACGTTGTTATTGTTATTATAATCACTCTTGTGATTTAATTTCACTGCTGTAACATTATTAACAGTACTGATCGTTTTTCAAAACATGTAACAAATCTTTCCTTAT